ACTCAAGGACCAATGACATTATTTGCACTTCAAAATACTATTCAGTTGTGTAAGTGAATTAGTTTCATCATTAGATTTATTGATTTCTTATAACTGCGAAGAGCATGCATTATAGGCTCTTCGAGGCAAAATAAATAAATAAATAAAAAGCTCTCAGTACAAATTGAGGGGAGGGGGGAGAAAGTAAAATGTTCCTTGTTTTTTTTTATGGAATAATATAACTTTAAGTCATTTTATTTTGCTCATGTCTTGCTATTGATTTTTGCATTTTTTTAAATATTTTTAGTCTTTATATTTTTATTTTTTATTATTTTATATCTCTCAAATATCCTTATACTTTATTTATAAAAGAATTTAAAATAATAAAAAATAAAAAGTACAAGAACTAAAAATACTAATAATAAAATGTAATTAAAGTATATAAATTTAAAGTTATATTTTTTCATTTTCAAGTAAAAAAATTTTTAATTGAAAAAATATTAACAAAAGTCAGAGCCAAAGTTTGCGGGCTATTGACTTTTGCTTGGCAAAATCTTCAATCATAGAAGCTTTTCTATCCCAATTTATAGGATTAAAAAAATATTTATTTTAATTTTATTTATAAAATACTTCAATAATTATTATTTGTATCTTTACCATTTACCACTATTAAATGTAAGGAAGTTCATTAAATGTTAGAGTATTTTATTTTAAAGTAATATTTTTAATAGGGGTAAAGTTAAAAATTTATTAAATTTTTAGACAAATTAATGTGGTATAAGGCTTTCTTAATTTCAATAAAAATGTTAGAAATAAATTATAAATAAAATTAGGAGGAGTATATAGTCAACTCTATGCCATTATTATTGTATTTATTGTATGAAGTAGGGACAAGGGCTGAAAATTCTAATTTTGATCCAAAATGAAAAACCAATTAATTCAAATGTTTTGTGCTATATATCAAAAACTTCAACAACTTAGTGCAACAATATAATTCTTATTGATTGATGAGAGACATATATACCAAGTGTCTTTAATATTTCATATATTAAACTTAATGTGTTTTTATATTGTACAAAAATTATGTTTCATATTGATGATGGCATGTTCTTGTATCACATCTAACAATATAGATATATGTGGACCAGAATATCATTACAATGTTCACATGCATTTAGTATTAATTTGTACGAAGAATTTGGCTGAAAATATTGTATGAAAAAAATAACATCATAATATAAAAGGCTAATAATATCTTTTATTACTTAGAAGTATTTGGTAACTATATCTTGTTTCTAATTTGCTTGAAACTTTGAATTTGGCATGAAAAAACAGTTTAGCTAAGTTTTAATTTTTAAGTATGATAATGACAATATAGTAACTACTAGACCAACTCTTAGGTCCACGGGGAGCACTAGCTACTGGTAATTAATTTGGCATGCATGTATTGAATTATGGAGATTAATAATTTGATTTATTAAAATTATCATGTAACAAACATTCCTTTTTCTTAAAATCGAAGTTAAGTGGAATAGTGAGATTTGAGAGAAATGCTCAATGATAAAACTAGAAACGAAAATATTGTAAGACCACCATTTAAAAAAAAAAAAAAGAACATTTTCTTTAGCTTACTTATACTGCTTCTATCAAGATTTAAGATTTAATATTCATTGACTTATATTTAATTTTCTTTCCCCAATTTTCCTCTTATCTTCAGCTCCCATTAATATTCATGACCCTACCACGTTGAATTAATTAAATACTTTTCAAAGTTAGATCCTCTCATGGATACCTTTTAAAGCCAACCCAACGATAAGTTTTATAAATTTATTTATTTTAACTCATATATTGAACCCTGCAAGAGTCACAAACTTTTTTTTTTTAATAAGCAGAGTCAAAAACTCTTTATTCTTAATCTAATGGAGGGGTCTCGATTATTCCTAGCTTAATTGTGAGGATCAAATAATATTTTAAGATGAGATTTAAATTATTCAAATTCGATATGGATGGTCATAAATTTTTGCTGTTTGATCTAACATTAATTTTAAAAAAATGTATTTTACTGGTTTTAAAATAAAAATATATTAAAAGTGCAAAAAAAAATAATTTCAATAGCCTAATTTTGACTATATATATATATGAAAAATATTGAGGGTTAAAAAAGAATTAACTCCTAAACTATAATTTAGAAATGTCTGAAATCTTAAATTTATTTTTAGTTTAATGTTCCGTTTTAACTTGTGAAAACATTGCAATTTATATATATTATTAATAAAAGTTAATTTTGATCATGGATTGACCAAAAAATGGCAAAGAAGGACTCAAAAATTACCAAAAAAGGATCAAGAAAAATTTATTCATTTTCTATAATTTTTGATAATTTATATAATTTTTTATATTCCTTTATATTATTTTATAGTTAACTAATAATCAAAGTTAATTTTTATTTATAATATGAACAAATTACACTATTTTAAAATTAAAGAGAAATATTGTACTAAAAAGTAATAAGATCCCAAAAGCTCCCCGATTCATAGTTTAGTAACTAATTTACCTTTTTATGCAAATATTGTTGCATGCTTTTCATTTGAACAAAGCTGCTTGACTATTTATATGCAAATACATAAAAGGACTAAAATATACTCCCCATTTTATCTATAAATCATTTACAATATTAAAACTTATTAATTCATTTTAAAAATTTAACAAATTTTTAACTATACTCTTAGTGAATGTGAATACTCTAACAGTATATTTTTTTATAAATACTCTTTCTGTTAAAAAATATAAGATATTTTTAATCGAATCTCATCCTCTAATAAAATAATTATTTACTTTCAAACCACCTTATCTTTTTATATTCATCCCCATTAAACACCCTATAATAAATATAAAGTTATTTATCAATAGGGATACTTTTAAAAAAATAATGATTATATTTTAAAAGATTAAAAATAATAATTATATTTTAAAAGATTAAAAATATATTATATTTTTAAATGAATAGAGTATTTAATAAAAAAATAAATTTATGATGAAAAATTAACGACACGTGTTGCTATAAATATGCGCAAGAAAAATATTTTGTGTCACTGTCAACATTCGATTGAAATTTGAGAACGAACCTAACTAAGAAAGAAAGCACTAAAAGGGGAAAAATTACATGCCTCATTTATTACTCGTTGATTGGACGCTGAGTACAGTAGAAACGGAAGAAAACGGAAGTTGAAGACTATCAATGACTCAGTATATAAAACATAGGACCATCGTTAGCACGTCTAACGGAAGGAAACAGATGAGTTAACGACAAACAGGACATTGACATCTAACGGCTAGTTTCTGTAGGGTGTAGGCATATTTATTATTCATATGCTTAACCACCCTTCATTATAAATGCAGGAGCCCATGAATGAAATTAGGTTACGGATGGATTATTTGAGTTACAAATTTAGATTTGAAATTTTATATTTGATATCACTTCAATTTTTTTTATAAATTATTTTTTATCAACTTTATTAATACCAATACAAAAAAAAATACTTCCTTCATTTAAAAATATAAAATATTTTTTGAGGAGTTGAATGTTTAAAAATGTAAGACATTTTTAGTCTTTTGAGATATAAATCATTGTCTTTTTTTTAAAAGTGCTCTTATTGATAATAAATTTATATTTATTGTAGGGTATTTAATAAAAATAAAGGATTGGTTGAAAAGTATGTAACTATTTTATTGGGAGTAAGATTTGGTTAAAGATGCCTTATATTTTTAAACAAATGGAGTACAAAGAATACAAGTGGTTAAAATTTTAAATATGCTCCTACATAACAAATTCAAAAAGTGGTGTCACGTTACTTTTTCTTTCTCATAAAAGATAATTTTAAAAATATCTTTAAAATGATATTTAAAAAGACGCACCGTAATTTACAAATGAGAACAAATAAACTTTTTAGAATATGACTTACAAATGAAACCGGAGGAGTATTTTACAATTAAAATTCATAGATTCTAATATTAAATTAAAACTTACTAATAATTAAGAACTTCTTAAAAAGATTAATATTAAATTAGAACTTATTTCTTACTTTAAAAAAGATGAGATATTATTTTCAAGTGAGATGTTAGAAAATACTCTCTTTGTTTTTAAATATATAAGAGAAAATAATCAATACACATGGTTTTAAAAAGTTAGTTAAATATAATAATTATATTTAAAATTTAAAAATTTCAATTAAATTATTCATGTAATTAATGAAATAACTTCATCTAGTGAAAATAAATATTGACTCTATGAGGGTCAATTTAAGAAAAATATAATACTTTCTAAAATTTATAGTTTTGCTTATAAATAAAAACACAGAGACACATATGATAGTTTCTCTTATATTAAAAAAAAGGAGGAATATAAAGTATTTTATGCTTTTCATGGTACAATTTAATGAGGTTTTTTTTTCAAGAATACCTGCAATAAGTTTTTCCAAAAATATACACCCTATTAAATAAGATTTTTCTAGTAGGTGTGGCAAAGATGGCAGTAGTCTAAGCTCCTTAAGCATAATTAATTTGATTTTTAAAAATGTATGTGAAGAGCATCACTTGAGAAAAGATAATCAATTAAATGACACTCAAATTTTTTGAGAAATTAATCTCATGACTGATGGCTGTGATGATGTGTTGGGAAACTAAAAACAGAAAGATGAACATGAAAATAACGTGTAATGACAATTAACTAATTCTTTATAAGATGTAATTCAACCTTATAATATTAAATAGAAGGAATACTTAAAGATTTTCAATGCAACGCTGAAAATGAGTATAGAATTTGGGGACTTAAATTATGATGAGATTTTAAGTTGACATTTTTTTTTAACGAGGTTCCTAGTCATCATCCTAGGACAATTATATTTGCTCATTTATTTATTTGAGCATTGTTTCGTCACCCTCAAGTAATAATGTCTTTCATCTATATATATAAATGCATGGGCATGCATGCTTCATCCACAAGTCATCTCTCTCGCCATGAATCCACCTTCTTGTTCTTCTTCACTGGTCTTCCTCGTCCTCGTCTCTCTGTTACTCTCATCATCGTCAATGGCTGCTAATAATAACGAGTTGGCATCCAGTGAAGAAGTGATCAGACTCCCGGGAGTTACAGGCCCTGAAAGCTTAGCCTTCGACTGCAACGGTGACGGCCCGTATGTCGGTGTCTCCGATGGTCGAATTCTCAGATGGAATCGAACTCTTAAACAATGGTTCGAGTTTGCTCTCACTTCACCACACAGGTAACACCTCTGAGATAACAATAATAAAAGGGATTAGGATTTAGAAGGTTTCGAGAACTTGTGATCCGCTGTTTCGAGTCTATATTTTATTTCACGGCTTGTGTGTGTGTGTGTGAGTAAATTGTAAGGTAACAATTAATAAGAGGACTTACGAGGTAGTTTGCTTTGGAGCTTTGGGTGAGGAAGAGGAAGGTGGGAAGAGAGAGATTGTTATGATGTGGTTACCATTTCGCCGGCTAGCCTAATTAGGTTTTATAGATATTTGATATTTCTTCTGGAGAATTACAAATAAGGACCCTTACAAAATTTCTCGAAGAATTTATGACTGAAACATCAAGAATTTACAACTAAAATATAAGGATTTTCAACTCAAAGGTCTTTATATTATCTTAATTTTCTTAAAGAGTCTTCAATTGTCATTCTCACTATTTCTTTTTAAGCATCTTTGTACATAAACTCCTTTCCATTATTAACTTTTATCTTTAAGAAAGCATTATTGAAAATTACCACTCCTTTTTATTATTTTTATTTAATAAGATAACTTAATCATAGATAAATATGATAAATTTATTAATTTTAAACTTAATCATAAGTCAATGCAATCAAGTCACTCCCTCCTAGGCCCAACAAAAAAAAAATTGGGCAAAGCATTTTTTAAGTCCAAATATTGATACTTCCTTACTTACTTTTTTATCTATCCTATTTAGAGTCAGTAATTCAAGTCAAGTTCAACGAACTATCCCTGAACCCATTGAAAAAATTTAAGGCCAGGTGTTTTTTTTTTAAAAAAAGATAGGTTTTTATGTTCGGAGCCTGAATAAGTCCAAAAAATTCAGGTCAAGCTCGATGATCAGGTTCGAGCTTAGTTCAAATATTCGAATAAAATATAATAAATATTAATTAATTCTTTAAGTTTTAAATTATTTTATATTAAAATACTATATATTTGAGTTATATATATCGTTTAAATATAAAAATATATTTTATATTTTTTATAAAATAAAATAAGTAATTTTAAAATAAAAAAATTCATTTAAAAATTTTAAAAAATAAAATTTAAGTATTCAGGTTGAATTTAACTATTTAAATTTTTTAAAAAGTTAAACCTATTCGAAGTCAAGGCCTATTCAGTCCGCCTAAATTTTCCAACTCTCTTATCTAACCCTTCCCAACAGGAAAGGGTCCACATACATACGCCACTCACAAACATCGCACATCACACACTCTGCCCGCTTGGGTTATTAATCCTGAAACCCTTAGCTTTAATGGGAAAGAGAATGCCACTTCAATTACAGACCAAGACTCTCTCCTCGTCTTTTTCCTTTTTTGAAAAAAATGGGCCCTGGCCCACCATGTGAGGGCAAGAGAGACTAGGAGACAGTCTTCCCCACTTGAGCTGCAAGCTCTTGGCGATATACATCATTTGCTTGCTCCTAATCACCAAATATTGATAGTTGAATCTAGACATTTTGAGGTCAATGTAAGATATCTTAAATAAGGAAAAGACTTGAACATGTTACAAGTTTGGACCAAATCATCTTTAAAATTAAAGTCGATAATCCGAGCGAGGCAAGCTTAATTCGAGGCAAGCTTATTCGAATTAAATTTAAAATATTTTGCCATATAGAAAAAGCTTATATAGTTAAACTCGACCCTAATCCCTTGAGCTCTTAAGCTGGCTCAAATATCAAAATTGTTAAATATTATTTTATTTATTATTTTTATCTAATTTCATTTTTTATTTTTAAAAATTAATATTTTTAATTTTTATATTATTTTATTAATAATAAAAAAAATAATTTGGGTATTCGGGCTTGGCCCAAATTTTTTAAATTTATTCGAGGAGTTTGAGTAGGTTTGGAGTAAAAAGAATCTTTTAAACTTCCAATTTAATCTTAAAATTTTTTGAGTTTATTTAAGCTTGCCCATCAAATTTGATCCAAATTACTGCCTCTATTTGAAATAGTATATTCTACCAATAAGAAGTGATTGATAATTCAATCTTTAGAAATCTCAAACAATAATACATACACACTGATATATATCTTAATGTTTGATTATAGGGACAGGAAATTATGCGATGGGTCAACAGATCCAAACAAGGAACCTATATGTGGGAGGCCATTAGGACTCAAATTTAACAAGAAAACATGTAATCTTTACATAGCAGATGCATACTTTGGCCTCTTAATGGTTGGTCCTAGTGGTGGTGTGGCTCAACAACTAGCCATTTCTGCTAGTGATGGCTCTCCCCTCCACTTCGTCAATGCCTTAGACATTGATGAGAAATCTGGTGTGGTTTATTTCTCAGATACCAGCACTCTATTCCAAAGAAGGTATATATAACACACATACATACGCACAACATCCTATTTTGGGCTTCGTAATTGGATTATTCATCTTATTTCTTTCACACCTTCATGTTTAAATAAACTTAAGAGCTTCCTCTTTGTGAAAGGGAATACCAATTGGTAGTCCTTACAGGAGACAAAACAGGAAGATTGCTTAAGTATGACCCAAGTAGTAAGAAAGTACAAGTCTTGGTCAAAGGCTTAGCATTCCCAAATGGTGTGGCTTTAAGCAAGGATTGTTCATTCCTTCTGTTAGCAGAATCAACTTTTAACATTATTCACAAGGTCTGGCTTACAGGTTCTAAAGCCTACAATTTAGAACTTTTTGCATTGCTTAAAAGGTCCCCAGATAATATCAAGACAAACAAGAAGGGAGATTTCTGGGTGGCACTGAATAGTTACAGGTCAGTGCTTCCAAATACAGATCACAATGAAATTGTGCAGGAGGAGGATCAAAATCCATGGTGGATAAAACAAGACCCTGTTGCAGTGAAGTTTGATGGGAATGGAGAGACTTTGGAGGTTCTGGATGGAGGAGGAGGCCAAAAGCTTGACTCTGTCAGTGAAGTTGAAGAAAATGATGGGAGGTTGTGGATAGGATCTGTTCGTAAAGATTATGTTGCTATAGTCAATAATATCTAGCTTCTCAACATAAGTTGTAATCAGAAGGACCTTTCAAAGTAAACAGTATGTTTCTATAGTCAATAATATCTGGATTTTCATTATTGTTGTAATCAAAAAGGACCTTTCAAATTAATGCTGCTGCAGTTATCTAGTTCTCATTCATCAGTGATTGTTATTAGGGACAGTTATAGCCATCTTCAATTAGCCATATATAGCACACTGTCTGCATGCTACTAGCTATTTCCCATGAATCTTCTATACAATTATAGTTTCCATCTCAATTAATTTACTTGATCTGGTTAATTAGGATCTAAGTTAATATGTTTTCCCTTGCTCTGTTACTGATTTGGAATCCAAGTTCAATTGTACAACCGGACACTTACATCATTTATTTGAGTGCAACATGGAAAAGATATGAATTACACACATAAAGAGTCAATTGGAAGAACAGAATATGGTGTCTCAGACTTAGATGCTCTTAGTAAAAGGTGAACTATGACTAAGACATAGGCTACTCTAACTAACCCTAGTTAAAAAAAAAAAACAATATTTTTGACACATAGCAGGTAACGAGAAGCAGCCATTGTGGACTTTACTTATTGGACAATTAAAAAAAAAGTTGTTGAAAAGTTACAAGCATTTTAAAGAAACAAGAGAATATGAACTGTACTAATGCTTGGCTGTCTCCAGAGTCAAGAGACCAATAAGATGCAAGCAGCTCATGATGATTTGACTTGGGAAAACCGGTATTATCAGAGCATTTAATTCCTTAATAGAACTTATGCTTCAATCCTTTATCAAGATATAGAACAATTTGTAAATGAACAATATGTGCTTCATCTCTGGGTTACTCTCCTTTACTATACCCATGAAGCCATCTTCTTCTTCCACACTTTTCATGAATTTTAAGTTGAAAATGATCTGTAATATTGACACACACACACACACACACACACACACATGTTGATGACCAAACCAGTGTGGTTTATTTCTCAGATAGAAGCACTGTGTATCAGAGACGGTATTTTCTTCCTATTCCTGCCTTGAAACTTCATAGGCACCATATATATACATGAATTTGAAAGAAAGTTTATAATCATTTTGATTTCATTATGTGAAAGGGCAGGGAAAGTGATAGCCCAAAAAGGAGATAAGACAGGAAGATTGTTGAAATATGACCCATGTAGCAACAAAGTAGAGATCTTGCTTCAAGGCTTGGCATTTGCAAATGGGTGTGGCTTTGAACAAGGATGGCTCATTCCTTCTGGTAGCAGAAACAGATCCAGACATGATTCATAAGTTCTCGCTCAGAGGTCCCAAGATCTACCACCAGATAACATCAAGAGAAACAAGAATGGAGATTTCTGGGTGGCACAGTACAGTAACAGAATAACAGATAACAAAGCTCAGATGCCATGGAAGAAATTAGGAAGAGACCCAGTGAGAGTGAAAGTTAGATATGAACTATGAAGAGAAAGGCTATGGAGGTTTCGGATGGAAGAGGAGGTCCAGACCAGAGCTTGAGTTTGTCAGTGAAGTGCAAATACATCATGGGAGGTTGTGGATTAGGTCTTCTGTCAATTCCTTTGGGTGTGTTTGGATTTTAATTGAAAAAAATTGATTAAAAAAAAATTAATTATTAGAATGTGATGGTGTTTGAATAAATTTTTAAAAATTAATTATGATATTGATTTTTTAAAATGGAACAAATTTTAGCTTGTTTTAAATGAAGTTTTAGAAACCAAATGGAGTTTGAAAAAATTAGGATGTTTGGATAAAAATTTTTAAAACCATAATTTTAAACCCAAAATTAATTCTAAAAAGATATCCAAACAGACCCTTGTTGCTGTAATTGAAGCATAATCATATTTTCTCAGCAACATTCTTCCCTCAAGATGTATAAATCTTTTACGTTTTGAGGTTCCCTTTAATGACACGTCATTTTCCACCTCAGCTCTCATTTTCAACTTCCCTCAATGTTTATCCTACTCTGTTGGACTAGTCCTTTTCAAAGTTGGACACCTTCACTTTTCCGCCACTTGTTTATTCAAGGGGATTGTGACATTTATATATATATATATTTTAAAAAATTATGTGTGTGTGTATTAATTTTTTAATATTTGAAAACTTTTCATTCATTAATATTTAGTAAAAGGTGAAAAAATGAACAAGCATGGGTATTGGACCCAATAGCAAAAAAAAAAAAAATATTAGTTATACGAAAAATCCTAACGCATTAGCTCATCCCCACACGCGCACTGAAATAATGTGAAGTTTTAGCTTTTTGAAATACTCTCACGTTTGACATTCATACTATGTTTGGATTTATATGAATCTAGATTTAAATTTAGGCCAAATTATTTATTTGGGCACTTAAAAATTCATGAATCTAGATAAAATTAAAATTAAAATTTTACCTTAATTCCTTTATAATTTAAAATCCTTTATAAATCTTTATTATTTTAAATCTCCACATGCACTCTCAAAAAGTTGAAACACTATCTAATGGTAATTACTTTTATTATTTGAACTATCCAAGTAAAGAGTTTTAGATACATGGATTTGAAATGTGATATTTTAAATTCAAATTTTAAATCTAAACTTATTAATCTAAATACTACCTCAATGTTTTTCAAGTTATATATATATGTGTGTGTGTGTGTTATTAGATTCAAATCTTGCTGCTAGAATCTTGTTAGTGGCTGATTTATAAATATATCTATAAGTATTTTTGAACTCAAAGGGGTGCGGGGTCTCTCCCTTTCCCTTTTCTCTTTTTACTCTCTATTTCTTTCATCTTAACTTTGTAATTTGTGTGGCTCTTATCTCACTATTTAAATTAAAATACCAGCTGTAATCTAACACCATTATTATCTAAACAATTTATCCTTAAAAAAAACTGCTTCGGCTTATGCATGAAAAAACATTTTTGGAATTTTTTATTAAAATGAGCAGGTCATTTAAAATACAAATGCTATTACATTTTTCCCAAACTATTTAGTTTAAAATTTTATTCTTGTATTTCAAATTAAAATTATTATAGATTTAATCATTATTTTTATATTTATTGTATTATTTATAAATAAAAATATTAAAAATGGAGAAATATTAATGTATACATATAAATATATTATTTAAAAGATTAAAAAATATATTATAAATTTTTAAACCTGTTCCTACCAAAACAATTAAAAACTGTTTTAGTGAGTATTGAGTAAACCAATGTTTACATTTTTTTGATGCGATGTTCTTCCGGTAACATATGCTCCTACATCGATAAATAATATTTTTATATACATAGACATTAATATTTTCCCCACTGAAACAGTTTTTAAAATTTATAAATTGATTGAAAAAGGTAAAAATTAGTTTTACTCAATGAAACAGTTTTAATTTTTTTGGTAAGAACATGTTTTCAAAATTTATAAACAATATACTTATATATACACATTAATATTTCTCCATTTTTAATATTTTTATTTATAAATAATACAATAAAGATAAAAATAATGATTAAATTATAATAAATTTAATTCGAAACACAAGGATAAAATTTTAAACTAAATAGTTTGGAAAAAATGTAATAGCATTTGTTTTTTTTCAAATGATACTGTTTATTTTTATAAAAAAAAATTTCAGATTCGTTTTTTATGTACGAACTGAAGCAATTTTTTAAAGATAAATTGTTTAGATAATAATAGTATTAGATTACAATAGGTACTTTAATTTGGATAGTGAGATAAGAGCCACACAAATTGCACAGTCAAAATCAAGGAAATGGACAGAAAAAGGGAAAAAGAGAAAGGGAGAGACCCTACGCCATCGGCTATCCCTAAAGCTGGCTATCTTGGCCCATACATAATTATTTTAAAAAAATTGTAGAAAATAAAAAAGACACACCAAGTAAATGAGCATTGCACGTGATTTGCTAAATTTCAAGAGTCAAACAGCACGCATTTCAAGATGTGCAGATGAGACTGAGCTAGAGGTCTCTCCTTTCACCTTTTCTCCTTTTTCCCTCCATTTCCTTCATCATAATAATTCATTTTGTGTGATTCTGTGTGGCTTTTATCTGACCATCTAAAATGTCAGCTGTAATCCACTACTATCTGACCGAGCGCGATGTCTCTCCTTTCACCTTTTCTTCTTTTGCCCTCCATTTCCTTCATCATAATCGTTCATTTTGTGTGATTATGTGTGGCTTTTATCTAACCATCCAAAATGCCAGCTGTAAGACTACTTAATTTAAAATTTTATTCTTGCATTTCAAATTAAAATTATTGTGAATTTAATCTTGTAATGTTGAATTTTTATCTTGTATTATTTATGAATAAAAAAGTTAAAATGGGGAAAATATGAATGCATGTATATAAATTATTATTTTAAAAATTAATATATATATATCTATATTATTTATAAATATAAAAATTGTTCCTACCAAAAAAGTTAAAAACTATTTCAGTGGGTAAAGCTAATTTTTACATTTTTCTAATGCAAAGTTCTTCTAGTAATATATGATTCTGTGTTTTCCATTCAGTACTTTGATTTTATTAATAAGTTATTTTCAACATGTTTCATCAATATCAAAAAAAATTTTAAAATTCATTAACTTTGTCTTAACATTTAATAAATTCTCAACTTTGTCTTTATTAAATATACACTTTCAATAATATATCTTCTCTCTCCAACATTCAACGGAGGGTAAAAAAAATTATGATAAAAATTTAATGATGTAACTCATAAATAGGATAAAAAATTCTTCTCTCTCTATCCTATAAATAAAATCAGAGAAAGTATCCTAATTGCAAACTTCATTTTGATTCTATGGACATATTGATTGAAATTTATAAATAATATTTATACACACACATAAATATTTTCTCTATTTGAAACAGTTTTTGAAATGTACAAGTAATATATATATTTTAGCAAACATTCAAAGATGAAAATCACAATAATTTTAATTTTAAACACAAGAATAAATATACATTATTTATAAATTTCAAAAAATTTTCATACCTTAAAAAAAACTTAAAAACTGTTTCGGGGAGTAAACCAATTTTTTACATTTTTCAGTCAATTTATTAATTTAATCACTGAAACAGTTTTAATTTTGTTGGTAGGAACAGTTTTCGAATTTATAAATAATACTATGTATTTTGAATTTTTTAAATAATATATTGATGTATATATATACATTAATATTTTCTCCACTTTTAATTTTTTATATTATA